AATGTTGGATGGGAAAAAAAATGAGGCAAAAAAGAAGTGATAAAAAGTAGTTCAGTGTTGTATTTTCAGGCTAGTGAAAAGACAGATGGCTTTTGCAAGTGGCATGCATCATGGTGGTGATAAGGGCGATGACAGACCAACCCAGACCTCGCCAATCTATACCAACCACGCAACCCTCCCCTGCGCTGTCAACATTCTGCGAGAACGAAAGCGTGCCTCCCGAAATTGCATGCGTGTGACAAACTTCCATATTTCGTAGGTGATGTTTAAGGCGTGTAGGATGTCGCTCAGACTCAACATGGACTGGTTAGGACTGACGAGAACCTCATCTAATTACCCAACAATGACAGGGTACGGACAGACAAGCGTTTGGCTTTTCCCAAAATGATAACGAAGGCCAATGTCAAATGATAGAGTAAGAAAAAAAAATGTGATACAGATGCTGAAGTGTGTCGTTTCTCGCTATTCCGGAACAATGGTTAATCTATTCCAGTCATCTGTGGTGTTTACGACAAGGCCAATTTGATATGGAGGGAGGCTTTAACGTAGCGTGTGATTGACTCACCATAGTCACGGCACTCGCGCAGACACTGTTCCCAGCGTAGCTTTAAAATTGGGTGGTGTCCCACAGGGGTCATTCCTCGGGTTTTGGCGTTTCTCTCTATTGCCTTTGTGAACATGACGAGATTGCATTTCATTTATTTGTAGATAATGTACAGTTCTATGAAAGAAATGGAAGCACTGTGACTGCTAATTTCTGTCGTTCTGCGTTTGAAGTTGTGCAGTCTTCCCATTTTTTAAAAATTATTTATATATTTGTACTCTGCACCTGCCTCCAAGATGCACACTTTTCTGGCCAAAATTCGGTTGAAGTAAGTTACACTTCCATCTAAAGATGATGTTAAAGTTTCTTGACGTGTTACCACCAGCATAATTCCATTACTTTCCAAGACATTTCGGATTCCCTCCAAAATCAATTTTTGACGTCTTCATCCAAAGGCTCTCTGTTGTTAATTCCTGACATGACTTTGACATCCAAACTCAAATTCAGTAGTGCCTGGTGACTTTGAAAACGGTCACATAAACAGATGTGCCACAAGTCCAGATGTGGTTCAGGGGACAGTTATTTCTTGCAGCATCGCAACCCCCCAACCCCAACCCCACGCCACCTCCCCAAAGAACAGTCAGAATTTTTTGGAAGGCAGCTCGTAAATCAGAGTTCAAGACCCATATTAGACATCTGGTTCCTCATAGAGGTCCCAAACTTACAAAAGCATTTCATGTTCGAAAAAATCTCACGGCACGTTAACCAACAAAAAAATTGTCACGAAAAATGTGTGCCATGTCAATCGTCGATAAAATATTCGGCTAGGAAAAAAAAAATGTTCCAGGATCCATTTCGGGAACAAAACCGAAGTATGGAAAACCAAGCTTGACATTAATACAACCAGAAACCAGAAATACATGGCCTCCAATATTTCACAATATTGGAGGCCATGTATTTCTGTGCGGCGGCTCCTCAGTTGAGTGGTTTTGTCACTCGTTCTGAGCGCGCGCTTGTCAGAAATGCGACTGTTTCTGTCTGCATCCATGCATGCGTGTTAGCACAGTTAGTTATCTTATTGTATTATTACTTGTACACAACAATTTCACGGATTATGAGTTTTGTAATCGCTCAAGTCAACTATCTGTTTGTTGAATTAGGTTTGAAGTTTCTTTTTGTCAAGACATTGGTCTCTTTTGGTGAAGAGAGAAACTCTTAACCGAGCTGACAGTTTCGGCTGTCACTTCAGCCTTCGTTGAACCTGTCATTGCTTCCTTGTGACGCGTCTTCAAAACAGCTATTTGTTGTTGGTTCGATTATTTTTCGAGTGTCAACAAAGTAACAAAATGATTGCAGAATTTCAACGTTATCTTATTTACACAATCACAATTTGACATTTCTGTACAGACTTGAGCAAGGATCATGGAAGTTGACATGTGAATTGCTTTTGCGGGCCAAATAAAATGATGTGGCTGGCCGGGTCTGGGCCCCCGGGCCTTGACTTTGTCACCTGTGCTATAATTTGTTCTGTAAACAGCTTACAGTTTACACAATGTACAGAAGTGAAACAAGTATATGAGCCAAAACTCGGTCTCGTCTTTTGTTTTATTTTTGCTCTTGGTTTTCAGTGATTCTTATTCAAACATTTACAAATAATCACCGTCAATAACTTCCTCGCATGGCAAGCTTCCTGCCAACAGCCAGTGATTGTTTCCTGCAGAGACTTCTGCCTGAGTTAAGAGCCTCACTCGATGGCAGCTGCCCAGATTGGAACATTCTAATTGCGGCTTTTTTCGAAGATTGAATTTCCTCTCACTGTACGTGTCCGTGAGTGTTTTTACAACCAATGTTATGAGATGTCCTGTATCTGCTGGTTCCGACTTTGTAGGGCATACGTGATGCCGTTTTGTGCGAGCCGAAATCCACAAAGCATTGTTTCCACAGCCACATCAAAACGGCAAGAGCTAGATTGCGATTTATGGCTGTCGTGAATAAAATTTGATTTAGGCCTATCAACTGTGGAAAATGTACGTTAATTACTGTGGCTGTTCAAAACTGTGCGGTCACATGAATAAGTTTTAAAAAAAACTGTTTGTCCTCTGAAGATTGAACAGAACAGTGTCTTTTGTGGTGGCAATGCAAGAATAAAACGAGTGTGTTCATCACGCCCCCTGACACGCATACTTTCAGTCTATTTGGTTTAGTGATGTCAAAAGCCAGACTTTTCACAATGCCGTGTTTATGCCGCTGAGGTCATTTGGTGATGCTATCCTCCGCCAAACAAAAGCCCGTCTTGTTTACGTTTGGAATACGTGCAATCAAAAGTGCTCCTTGTCAGATGGTTGCTGTTTGGAGGTTTTCCAATGGGAGGGGGTTCAAAGTTAGAGAATTTAAAGGAGAAATCTTTCGCGATTGCTCTGTTCGCCTTTTGCGCGTTGTGCTGCCGGAGTGCGGAAAGTCTGTCCTGTAGGCATCTGTTCACATCAAACCTACACAAAAATATCGCCACTCGCTTAGTGTAGACATCTGGGCAAAAGGGTGTTTAATTTGCTGGCCTTGGTCTGATCTCGTTTTGGATGTAGTGTGGTTTAATATTGCATTATATCCCCTCTGGCTTACGAGGGCTTTGTCCCAACTGCATTGCTCAGCACATGGGCTGCGAATACACACATTCACACACACACACACATAGACACACTTTGGCTCGGAGAAAGCGCCATAGAGAAAACAAAGCTGAGCCCCGCCAGTGTAAACACAGGCCATTGTTGCGAATGCGCTTGTCCCGCCTGGTATCTTCGCGCCCAGCGGCCATTCAAAGCGGTTGCCGCCAAGCCCTCGTTTCCGTCCAGCAGAACACCGGCGATTGCCAACCGCTGAGATCATCAGGCCGGTAGCAGGAAACGAAATTCACTTTGGGGGTGGGGGGGGGTATAAATACAAAAAACAAATAAGAAATAACATATAGTGGGAGGGCGATGAATAAATTAGGATGAATTAGGTTTCATCAGTGCATCTTGGCTAGATTACTGTACTGTGTTTGGAGTCAGCCAGTCCTCCCTCGAGCACCTCCAGTTGGTCCAAAATGCTGCTACTCACCTACTGACTGGAGCTGTTTTTATGCGATTTATTGTTTTCACAGTCTTTTTCTTTTGTATGGCTGATTTTTACTTGATGTACAGCGCTTTGTTTGCAGCTGCGGTTGTTTTTAAAGCGATCAGTTGAGTATTTGGAGCGGATGTGTGTGTGTCACACGATGGTGTGTCATAACTGTGACCCTGGGCCACATATGCAGCAAATTAGAGCCAATCAGAAGCCTGTAATCAAGGTGTAGTGTGGAAGATGGTTGCAGCGTGGTGGCGAGAGCAGGGGGCGGTGCGGGGTGGGGG